GAATTTCGTTTGTCACCTCATACTTATAATAGCTACATGTATAACAGCATCTTTCTCGAATACTCTTATTATCACAGCTGTAAAAGAGAAGAATAAAATTTGAAGAGAAAAGAAAAATGATTAAAAATTTCTCTTTAAAATAAATTCATTCATAAAAAAATAATGGAAATAAATTTTCGTATAATTTTACGATTTTTTTTCGTAAATTTATTGGATAAATTGAAAAATAAAATTTAAAATTTACAATATTAAATTTTTATTCGCATTAAAATTAACGAGAATTTTTATTTTTTCATTTTTTCTTTTAATTTTTAAATTAGAAATCGTAAAAAAAAGTCCGAAAAAAAAGAATCTGAAAATACTACTATTTTTTACCTAAAATTTATTAGCATTTAAATACTCGAAAATTGATATTACATCTTGTATTTAAAATAAAAAATTAAAATTTCCAGATTTGTTTAGGAATTAAATAATTATCACTTTGTTTGTCATTTTCAATTTGTATTTGTAGTAAGAGAAAAACGAAAAGGTTGTGAAGGATCCTGTTTTTAATTTTTAAAATTTTTTTAACTTTATAAAAACTTATATTAGAAATAACTTTCACATTTGTTTTTAGTCCTTAAGACAAACAAGCCTTTTTCAGTTTGATGATTCATGGGAGAATAATTAAAGTTAATTAGAAAATAATTAAATTACTCCTTCCATCCTTCCAAAATCGTTTATTGAACAAACAAAAAAAAAAAGAGGGAAAGGAAAGAAAAATTACCGTAGTGACAAAACAAAAATGGGAAATTAGAAGAAAATTTTGTTTTCACAAAAAAAAGAAAAAAGTTTACTGATAAATTCATCCGCTTTAAATTATCATTATCATTAAGGAATTGTGTTAATCATGTAATATTATCATCATAGCTTTTTTTTTTTTGTAATGTTGGGACATAAATGGTTAAGGTTCGAAGGAAATTTCGTTTAATAAAAAAAAACAATAATAAATTATTATCATTATCATTATCATTATCATTAATGGTTTACATCAATTATATGAGCTTATCATTATGTTTTTGGTTTAAAAATAATTGAAATAACTTACGAATGAAAAATTTTGAGAATTTCGCAATATCGTGATTTGTCGAAACAATTACTATCAGCCATCATTATTGAATTGTTTTCTAAAACTTTTCAATCTTTCGTTCTTTCTCCTCCTACTTTTTTTTTTTATTCAAAAATTATAACAAAAAAAAGCAACAATAACACTGAAAGAGAAAATTTCATAAAGCAATTTAAAAAAAAAAGGAAAAGAAATAAATAAAAAAAAAGAAAGAACGAAATATTGTAAATTTGTAAAATTAAATAAAAAGAGGAAACATTTCTTTTTTTCTTTGCGCCATCATTTCTAATAAAGAATGTAATGTGATCAAAGGATCCGCTTGTTTATCTTTACATCATCTTGATGAATAGTTAATTAACATTTTGAATTTAGCTAATTTGTTCATTTATTTTATTTTTTTTTTGTGGTAACATTGGTAATTCATTTAATATTGCCGAAAAATTTTCATTCATTTCTCGATTTATTTAAGCATAAATGATTATAGAATTAATCAATGCAGATTTGAATGACGAATAATGAGCCGCAAATATTTCATATTTTTATTTGTGTTTTAATTTTTAGCTAAAAAAAAGACGAAAAATGGAATTGAAAAAAAAAGAAATGAAAAGAGGGAAGAAGGAAAAAGTGGGATTGATATGAAATATAAATTATTGTTGTTTGTTGAAAATCTACAAGAACAAAAAGACGTGGTCAACGTGTAACACGTGATGACAACGTGTAACACTTTGGGGGTTAAATTCACTTTTCGATAAGAATATAACATCAAATATCATTTACTACCATTTAAATCTCATTTTGAAAGCTTTTATTTGACAGTTTAAAATAAAGTAATCTCACGTTTTCACGAATCCATGGGTTTTATTTGACCCATGAATTCGTGAAAACGTGACATTCTTACCCATGGATTCGTGAAAACGTGACATTCTTACCCATGGATTCGTGAAAACGTGAGATTACTTTACTAAATACCAATGTATGTATTATTAAAAGTAAAAAAAGAAAAGTATGATAATAAGCAATAAGGATGTTTATTTTAATTTATTGAAACGATAGTTTCTTCTATCATTTTCACCAATTTTCCGCAAAATTAAAAGGTAAGAAAGAGCTGCGTCGGCCGGGAATCGAACCCGGGCCGCCCGCGTGGCAGGCGAGCATTCTACCACTGAACCACCGACGCCTTATAAGGTGGTACCTCTTCTAACAATCAATAATTTATTCTTTTGTTTTCCCTCAAATTACATTCTTACCAGTGTTCACACTACAATGTTAGCTTTATGTTAAGCACAAAGGAACTATTCACATAAAAGTGTATGGGCAAAAAAAAAAAAAATTTAATTTAATCGGAATAGATTAAAAAATCAAACATTTAATTGTTAGACTTAATCGAAATTGATTGAAAAATCAAACATTTAACTGTTAGAACTGTTAGACTTAATTGAAATTGATTAAAAAAACAAGCATTTAATTATTAAATTCGTATAAAATATTCATTAATTCATTCAATTTCGAATAATAAAATTCCAACGAAATACTATAATGCATAAATGTAACACAACAATAGCATTAATTTATTCAAATAATTTCAATTAATCAAGTATTTCGATTATAAATTATATAATTGTTTAAGTGTTAAATAATTTTATATCCACTTGAAAAAAAAGACGCTGTTTTTTTTTGCCCAAAAAAAAAAAACGATAACAAAATAAAAAAGGATTGAAATCATTTATGAAAATAACGATATACTAAAAAGCTACAAATTATAAGCAACTGTACAGGTATTGCTTTTCGAATGCATTTGTTTATTTGTCCAAAAAAAAGAAAAAAAGGAGAAAATTAAGATTTAAATAAAAAAAGAAGAAAAAAAAGGGAAAAAAGATTGAAGAAATATAAATTTCTAATAAATATTATGAATTTAAATTTTTTAAAAAAAAATGAAGGAAAATGTATTTACTTTTCAATTAATTCTAATTGTTAAAATGTAAAAAATGAAAAAAAAATAAAAGGAAAAAGTTTTCAATTTGATTAAAATTTAGAACATACAATTAATAATTGGTCGAATAAAAAAATTAATCAAATTTACGCTTTTTTTTTTAAAATACTATCTTGCTAGTCAATAATTCAGTTGATAGCTTTTTTTCCTTTCTTTTTTTTTTTAAAGCTATTACTTCTTTTGATTAATCAAAAATATCTATTCAACCGTAATTATCACTTATCAGTTAATTTTAATGGAAACTTATTAAGCGCAAAAAATTAGTAGTAATCATTATCTAGACTAAAAAAATTGATTTATTGAATAGTTTAAATATTTATTGAATTGATTTATTGAATAGTTTAAATATAATTTTTTTTCCTTACTTTTCTCACCCTTTTTATACAAATCATATTTTTGAAATTTTTAAAATTTTAATATTTCATATGCATCATATATCGATCCATTTATATAATATAAATAAAGAAATAGCAGTGTGATGGAGAGGAATTAGAAAAAAGTTCTATGAGAGGAATTTTTATGATTGTTAAATTTTTCAATGAATTTACTCTCGGAAAGCTTATTCTAGCTAATTCATTCATTCATATTTGATAATTCTTTGACAACATTAAACCTATCTATTCATTCACTTTTGTAAATGTGCCAATATATGCATAATCTAAAAGTTATTCGTCCATTCGAAAGATGTCCAAATTATATTTGTGATCAGCTATGTTTAAGTGAAAATTAAATAAAATAATTAAGTAATTAAATAAAAATTCAAACAATTAAGTAAAAATTTGAAAAAAAATAGTGAAAAAAAAGGAAAAATAGAACAAGCAATAGTAACAGTAACATAACAAAGACAGTAATTAATGCGTATAATAATTAGTAATTTATCAATGATTAATTGATAATTTTACGAAAATTAATTTGCAAAATTAAATCAAAAAAAAAGCAACACTAGGCTTTTGTAATCGGCAAAATAATTGCAATCAAGAAAAAAAAGTACATGCATCGAGGAAAAAGTAAAATACACATGTTGTGGGTATGTGTGTGTGTGTGTGTGTGTGTGTGTGTGTGTCTGTCTGTCTGTCTGCACATTCCCTAAAAATGGGAAAATTAGGAAAATTAACCATGCCCATGCAAATTATTAGAAATGAATTTTAAGGAATTAGTAAAATTTGTAAATTTCGGGAAAAAAATTTTCATTTTAATTTTTCTATTTTTTTTTAAATTTTCATTTTAAAGCAATTAATATTTTGTATTTAATGAAAGAAAGTATATCTTAAGATTGTTGATATTAATTTAAATGTATAACTGATCGATAAATGAAATTTCTATTTTGATCACTTTTAATC